TCGTATGATATACTCCATTCTTCCTTCGGAATTCGATCAATCCATGCTGTTATCTGTGGGCTTGATTCTTTAAATTTTTCCAAACCAGCGTCAAAATCCAATTGCGATGTAGTGTAGCCTGTACATGACAACACATAATTGTTAATAACTAATAACATCAGCGTCATACGATCATTGTAACAAATTAATAAAATTCTAGTGACATCCATACCTAACTTCTTTAACTGCTTCTTCAACATGATGTTTTTGAACTTATGATTGAAATTGCTTGCCAGATGTCTTACGCAAAAAACATGGTACGCTTTGGGTGGTTGCCACCCTAACGCAACATTATTGACGGCTGCCAATATACCTGCATGTCGATTAGAAATAAGGCATATTCCATCTTTCGGAGTCACATGGATCCGTAACATGGCCAAAAACCAGGACCAATTGTCAATATTCTCACAACTAACAACAGCAAACGCTACAGGGAGGACATAATTGTTACCGTCAATAGCTGTAGCGATCATTAGCGTTCCGCGGTATTTTCCATACAAATGTGTCCCATCGATTTGGAGCATAGGCTTGCAATAATTAAAGGCATCACAACACTATTTGAATGTCCAAAAAACCCTTTTAAACACCTTGTGCGAACCATCGAGCCGACCATCAATCCTATGTTCATTCACATCCAGTTTATAGGCAGACCCAGGAGAAAACAATAACATATAATCCAACCATCTTGGCAGAAACGCGTACGACTCATCCCAATCCCCAAATACCCTCACAATTGCCTTCTGCTTTGATTTCCAGGCTTTTCGGTATGATATATGAAATCCTAGACTTGATGCAATCCTCTCCTGTATTAACCCAATTTTAACACTAGGCTCTTCACGTATCATTTCTGCGGTTTGACAAACAACGTATTAGCGTTACACTCACAATATTAATTTAAACATTTACCAGACGGTTGACTTACCGATGATCAATTCACAAATGAAACTAGAGTTAAGTTGTTTGTGATCCTGTGAAAGTGTTTGAGATACACACGTATGGATGTTGTTCCACACGCCTATTATCCATTCATGACCGCCTTTTTTCAGATATGCTCGCATCCTCCACGGACAACCATCATTGTGATTTTGACAAATCATTATCAGCCTTTGCGTATCACTTTTTAGTACGACAGTTGTGCGATTTTTTTCCATACAATACTGTTTGATGGCCATTTGTACATCCTGCTTGCTTTCAAATTGCTGGTCCTTATAAAGCTCTTGACCCATTTGCCAATTTGGTACTTGTGCCCCTTGCATGTCATCACACTCTTGATCGGGGTGTGCCCAGTTAATGTGCGTGTAATGTGGTATTTCTAACCAAAATGGAACATTATCCACTGCTTTTTAACACACATTTCGAATGTCGTTAAGTACATAAAAATATAATTAAACTGAAACAGTAAACTATCTTAAAACTCAAATGGTAAACTACCTAACCTGCAGCAGTGGTGGGTCATGCGCACCAATAATACCCGGTGATGGAATCGGTTGAACCAAAGCAGTGGACGTTTCCAACTCGAAATCACCATCAACGTCTGTATCCGACGAGTCACTGTCAAGGACCAGACCTTCATCAACCACCTCCTCGGAACTATCAGTACGCCCCGATGGATCATCTACTTCATTGGCATGAATCACATCTAAAGGTTGTGTTATTGGGGGAGATGATGGTGGGGGTGAAACATTCATATCTTCCGCATCTACTTCCGGCTCTTTGTTAATGTCTATGGAGTGACTGGTAGGGATGAAACATTGAGTGCTTGCCTCTCCACCGTTGTTTAGTTCCGCATATAACTCGATGTATGAGGACTCTCCTTGCTGTCGAAATGCATCAACTACTAGTGACACATCTTCATCCTCAACCACCTCTACAGCAACCCATTGCACGGGGTTACCAGAAGCACATCTAACAATCAGTCGAGACAAGGATTGACCTCGTTGTAATCTCAACTTCTTGTATATTATTTTCTTGAGCTCATTATATTTGCAACGCGGACTCATGCGGAAGATCTTCGTATCTCCTTCAAACACTTGACCATTCGATCCAAAATATCTTCTCCCATTGTAATATAGAAGGCATATTACATCATTGTTATTCTCACTCATTATGTACTGAAAATAGAATTCACACACAGAAATGGAAAAATTTCTTTTGAAAATGAACGAGAGAATGAATGACTGATCGAGGAAGGGGGACTAAATTATATAACACTGAGTTCGCTTTATGGCCCAGCGACCTGTAGCTGTCGGCAAGTAGTTCGCTGACCAAGGCAGCGCTGACTTCGAGGGAACTGCCATGTGGCACCTAGGTCGCCTTGGCCCCCAGCGAACTTGGCAGGGTTCAAACACGTGCCACCTAGGTCGCTTGCGTAGGCAGCGAACTCAAAATACGTTGCAGACTTTTTATCACCCAAGTTCGCGGCTGACACAAGCGAACTTGAGAACCAGCAGCTGACTGACACATCATCATGCGTAGTTCGCTACTACTCCCAGCGAACTAGCCCGCGTGGCAGTTTGGAAAAAAAGTTCAGGTGCATGGCATTTAGGTAAATAACAGTGGGAACAGTGGCACAATGGTCACTGTTCCCCATGACTGTGAATCCTGAATATGATATGGCAACGCCTCCTGCTCGTTATTTTTCTCCCATATTATGTCATTATATAACATAAACAAATATAAATTAATTCATTAAAATGGCTTATTAATCAATATACTATAGTTTTTTAAAAAGTATTAAAAATTATTTTTCAATGTGATATAATTTTATGTCACGATTATATCACATCTTAGACTCGAATAATGAAGAGTGATCAAATTATATATCTTCAGTCCATGCATATACGAAGGGCTCTCTTTGCAAAATATTATTATTATTATTATTTTAATTTTTCTTTTCCTTTTTGGTAATATTTTTCCAAAGATTACTGATGGGATACTAAACTGTATGCTGAGAGCGATAGGTGACCTATAAAGATGATATACGATATAAATATAACTACTTTTTTTGGAGTTTGATTTTGTTATTTGATTATCTTGAATTTCTTTCTATTTTTAAAACAACTGGAATAGCAGTAGCTAGGGGAGGTTCATGTATTTGGGGTCCATTCAGATTATGTTAATTTCCCCCCACTAAATGGTCTTATTTTCAATAGTTAGACCATTGAATCTCGAGATGATTTAACTAAATATATTATAAAAAAATAAAATCATTCACTCGTAAGACTAGATAAATTTCATTTGACAAAATACACAGTCAAGATACATAAACATAACATCACTCAGTATTTTGATATATTCCCCCAAAATTAAACGCATTTTATCATTATTTGCTGAAATTATTGTTAAATATCAAAATCAAATTAAAAAAACTTTACTGTATGTGGACCAAAATTATAATGTTTCTAATATTTAGATGTGACAATTCATTTTCAATTTAGTCGATGCATTTAATATATTAAACTTTAGTGTACTAAAAAATATATTAAACTTTAACAAACAATTTTATAACAATAATACACAATAATAACCAAATTAAAAACAATTGGATATATAGGGCTAAATAACAATATTTTTAAATAAGGACCAAATTAAAAATGAGTGTAATGTAGACCAAATAATGTTTCAAGTTTTAAACTCAAATAAAAAAAATAGATTAAAAGATAAAATATTGAAAAAAAACATATTTAAAATTATAAGAGAAATATGTACAATTAATTCAGATATAATTTTAAAATATAAATAAAAAATTTAAAATTATAAACAAGATATATACACAATTTAAAAAAATTAAACATAACATATGTTAATTTTAGTAAAAGTTAGACTAAAAAAATCAAACTACTTTTAAAAGAACATATATTCTAAATTAATAAAAGAACTTTCAATTTGTCAACAATGGCTTCTGTTTCGCACAAACTTAGACACAAGTTTCATGGCTTTTGCCGCCTCATAGTTGTCATACTAATTTAAACAATCGTGAGGATATTCTAACTACCAAAAACTTTAACTACTAACTTATTATTCATCACATTATCATTGGATCAAAGATAGAGAATGTTACAAAGTTTTTAAAAAGAGAGAAAATGTTAATCTAATAATAATTAGATACGTAATAAGTTGGTAGTGAAAAAATTTAGTAGTTAAAATATCTCTCATCTTTAAACAAACTTGTTCAAAACGATTAATATTATATTTAATAATTTAAGTTAATGTTACAGATTGAGTCCCCAGATTTCCACACATGACAACAAAAATTCGCTAGCATCCATATATAATTATTTTCTTTTTATTAATTTTAAGAAAATTGAGGTTTGTAGCAAACAAGTTTCCATTTTCACTCAGACCTTGCTACTTTGCAAAAGATCCTTCAACGGGGTGCTTAAATCAATAATTCTGTTTCTGACAAATAACACATAACAAATAACAAATTCTCATCTATATTATATAAGGGTTTTATTAATCTCATATTAAAAGAGATAATTATCTCATGTCATAGAGACAAACTAGTGGACTCTATCATCTGAAAAAAAGAAAAAAGAAAAAAAAAAAGGTGGCACAGGTGTGTAAGAAAGAAAGGTGGTCTCATGTGATATAAGAATAATTTTTCCCATTATATAATATACATAGAAAAGATAAAGCTTATATATTTCATTTTTTTTTCCCACTCTCCTATGATATAAGAAGCTTTGTTTTCTAATTTTTCATAACATTCATTTCTGATCGGAGAGTTCCACTTGCACGCAGAGCATAGCATACATACAAAAATCTTACATCATGGTCGTCATCATCATCATTTCCGAGAAGATATGCACAAAATATAAAGAAACATTTACCATGTACTGTCAAAATAAGAAATGTTTCATTTCATCAAAGAAACGCAGAACCCCAGAAAGCTCAATGTCCTTTTTTTCTTTCTGAATCATATCTTTCTGATTTCACTTGTAGTCAGTCATCAGTTTCAGTCAGTAGTAGCAATAGTACATGCCTTTCTCCTCTGTCTTGTTTTCATCAATACTGAAACTGTTGTTGTTACTACTACTACTAATCAATTGCTTAATATTCTCAAGATCATAATCCAAATTAGGGGTTTGCTTTTGGCCAAAGAATCCACATGATGACTTTTCTGCATAATGGTTAATATTATTTTCACCACCATCATTAGTGCTTCCATAACTAAGCATAAAATTGTTGTTATATTCTTCAAATCCACTAGACATGTAGCTCTGATAACCCATTTCCTCTTGCTTGATCTCCCTGCTATGGCTAACCTGAGTGCAGCTTCCATCAGAGGAACTGCAACTTCCTTCACTACCAAAAATGAGCATGTTGTCTCTGATAGGGTAATATTGTTGCATGGGACTAACACTAACCATGGACTCTTGGTTTTGGTAAAAGGGGACAGAAATTGAGGTTGTTGTGTTGCAACTTGTGCTTGCATAGTTACTTGAAGGAAGTGAAATAGGTTCAAGACCTGTGAAAGATGAAGCTGTTGCTGGGTTGTAGCTGCAGTAGTCAGTGTACATTGATGAGGATAGTGGGTGAGAAGAAGGAGAAGGTAGTGGATTTTGTTCATTGGAAGATGGAAATTGAGGTTTTCTTTGATGAGAAACAAGAAGAAACCCCATGAGCTTTTTCTTTAACTTTGTGTTCCAATAGTTCTTTATGTCATTGTCAGTCCTCCCTGGCAACTGAGCAGCTATAATTGACCACCTATAAATATGTATATGAAAGCTAATTAAGTTTCAACTCAACGTTTTAAAAACATTATTTAAGTGGATATGGTGTTGGATCTGAACTCTAAACTCAGCATGCATGTGAAAGTGCTATCCAAATATAGGCATATACTAATTAACAATCAGTTTTTTTTAAAAAAAAATTAAAAAAAAAAACTAGTATTGCCCTTTTTTTCTCCTTGTTTTTCAATTTTCGTTTTACCTCATTTGGATAGATAGATAGAGATTTTATCAGTATTTCGCTGGAGCATGTAGTTGATGACGATTAAAGAGGAAAAAAAGGAGGGGGAAAAGATGTTATATGAATATGCTGGATCTAGATCATTAATTTCAGATTAGATTGGTCCGAAAGTGCTAAACAACTTGTTCAGTGCTACTGCTAGTGGTTGTTTTAAATACCTGCTTCCAATATTAACATAGAGGCTGCAAATTATTCTGTCTTCTTCATCTGAGAAATCTCCATGCTTAATGTTGGGCCTGAGATAGTTAAGCCATCTCAATCTGCAACTTTTCCCACATCTCTTGAGACCTATGATCATATTCACAATCAAATTGAACCTTATTAGCTAGAGAGTAGTGTATATATATAACACATATATATGAGATCCCACAAAAAGATAATATATACAGGTTTCAACTTTACAAATTCTAGAAATTTTTTTCTTCATAAAAATCATGATATGTTCTTACCAGCTTTCTGAGGAAGAGCAATCCAATTCCCTCCAGTCCCATTCTTCTCTATGTAATCCTTCAGCTTTGAGTCTTCTTCAGGTGACCATGGCCCTCTCTTCACAATTGCCTTGTCACAACATGGTGCTCTTCCCATCTCTCTCTCTTTCTCTCTCTCTCTCTCTGTATTCCTTGCAATCTCAACCTGTCTTTGATCCAAACTCTCACTTTCTAATCTAAATGAAACTTCGGTGGATGGTGTGCTTGAGCCTTATAAATAAGAGACCTTGGTTTTGGACAGTTTAAAAAATATATATTATTTTATCATTTGAGAGAGAAAGAGGGAGAAATATGTACAAGTCAAATGAAAACAAGGACAGGACATTATATATACAATTTAATATAATTTTAACTTAACTTTCCACACACTGTTAATAATTAAATGACAAGAAGGGTACTCAGGGTCAGAGAGAACTTTCTAATCTTCAACGTTGAAGACCTGGCCAAGCTATATATGAAACCTCACTCATATTATTCTTCACATCTCGAAGAGAAAGCATCCAATGTTTGTAATACAGGAAGAAACACGACACAACAGGACTACTGAATTGATGGGTACAGCTACCAGAATTGTGACACTTTCCAAACTCTAGGACCAAAATGACGATTGGCCTAGTTTTCTTCCTCTTACTTTATTATTTCATTAATATTATTATTATTATTTGGTAATGCATTGCATATTATGCATTGACACTTTGCATAAAGTAAAAAGGCATGTGTTTTTTTAGAGAAAGACCTACAAAAGAGTTTGAAAATTAAGGTTTAGACAATTAATTAAAAAATATTAAATCTTATTTCACTAAACCCATATCTGATTAAAGGATGTGTTGGATTAGACACACCTTGTGATGATTTAATTATACCAAAAAAGGAGTTAGTAAGAATTAAAATTCACAGAGTTCTGATATCATATAAGCAATCGTCTTCATAAAAGAAGTCATTAAATGAAGATCCATCTATAATTTTTTTATATTAAATATCTCTAACACAACTAAATATTCATGAAATTTATAGATTTAATTATGCACTATTATTTAAAAGGGCATGTTTTTCTCCTGTTGCAGAATGAAAAAACATATATCCTACACACCTATAAAACACATCTCTTGTAATAGGAGAAACTAATACCCCTTATTTAAAATACTGATTGATTTAGTAGTATACACATCCGCATTATGTATGTACAAAGATTTTTCTGAATATAATTGAAAAAAAAAAAATTGTGCATGGAAGCAGGTGTATCTTTTGGAACTACATACCCACTTATGGCACGTTCCTAATTAAACTATAATAGTAAGATAATATTTAATAGATGTCTAATTAACTTAATTAAATAATGTGACATTGGAAATTTGCTAAATTAGACATAATAGTTAATTTCTGCTTACACTCTCATGCAGAGTTAACTGTTGAGGATCTAACATGGTGCAGTGTTAGCAGAATCCATGGGAAGTGTCATGAGCATGACCATAACGTTTCATATTTGAATGGGCCCTAAGAATCAGATTCTTTGCTATTAGATTCATCTGATCAGGTGTTGGGGATTGACTAATCAACGCAATGGTAGCATGTGCACGTTTTTATGAGTGATGATACATCATATTCATCCTAGCCAGCCATTGTGACCAGCAATGTTGTGAAAATTAGGCAAACAATTCTTACAGATTTGTCCTGCCACATTGTAACATTCCTACTGGGGAGCCTCGTGTTGCTTGGCGACACACATAGGAATAGAGACCTAAGACTCTAAGGAAAGACACTACTTGATTTCGTAGACCATAAGATGTGCTGATATTCATGAGGCTACATAGCAATGATCATTGTATATAATGTAAGATTTTATTTATATTGCTTAAAATGGATCGATCATGAGGAAAATAATGGTTTCTCTTTGGTTACCTCTAAATTTTATCATATGGCCTTGATATAAAAGCGTCATATCATAAAAAAGTTAAAATTAACAAGACAGATTGTTTATTAATCAGTCAATTGGGGTGCATTAGCAAGTAATTGCCGAATCATTATTGAGGTGTGGCGCAGAGGACAAAGTCATGCATTACTTAAGGAGCTGAAATTAGTTTATATATGTTCTATGCTATTTTATATGGGACCATGGGCGCATCTACTTATGCTGTATATGGGCGCGATATATTTTTTTAAAACGGAAAAGATAAATAGCACGATGTATGAAAACTATTCGAAAAAATAAATAAATTTATATTGTATTTTTTTTTTGGTAAATATATTTATATTACTATTCTTACACTTAGTAGTATCATTTACGACACGTTATTTTTATTACTTTGTTATTGGGTTACTTTTTTTTAATATGAAAAAAGTATTCTAACATATCTTTTATTTTGAAAATTATAAAATATTAAAATGATTAAAAATATTGATGTACAAATGATAAAATTTTACACTTTTTTGTCTTTACGTTTTATTAACGTGTCCTTACAGTAAATGTTCTGAAATTAAAAATAAGATTTTTAAAGGGTCTAATGTTTCTTATATTATAGAAGATAATTTTATCTTTTATACAAATATAAAAGTGTGTGGGTCCATGTTTTCTTTTTCTTCTTTTTCACATGGCATCACATGAGCCTCACACACTTTTATATGTGTGTAAAAGATAATTTTATCTTCTACAACATGATAAACATAAAACGCATTTTTAATTGAAATGTATAAATATGAAATAATTTTAAAAAATTAAAAAGTATTTAATATTTTACCTTAGAATAGTAAATATAAATAATAAATAATATTTTAATCCCTAATATGGTGTCCAAATTAAAGTTTTCATAACTTTTGTAAACAAATAAAATCTAAAAATAATGTAATTGTTCCGGAGATATCACTGTCCAATTATGCCCACATCTTCATGCCTATAGTCGCCTCTTATACACATACGGTCTTTACCACATCTATTGGGGAGACGGAGGGACTTATATGGTAGGACGAATTACCATTAAAATGAGTTAAGACAATCCCTTATATATAATAATTAATAAGTGAGTTTCACATTATATTTCAACCCAATATTTTAAAATATTAAATTTGTGAGTTCTTTTATTTATATGGTCCCACTTAATTCATTTATAACCAATGTGATTCTTTATTATTCATATTTGGATTCTCAATATGCTTCACCTCGAGTGTAAGTCCCAAAACCACATTCTCTCCCTATTCACACAAATCATTCAATTTTTGACTCTAATACTATTGTTAGGCAAATTAAGAAGAGTTCAAGATTGGGGAAACTACCATTAAAATGGACTAAACAACAATCTACCATAATATATGGACTTGATATCACATCTTTATGGATCCTTCCACTTATATAGTTACAACCCGTCGGATTGGCTCGTAACCCACCAAAAATGAACTGGGTTGGGTTGGTAAAAATGAGCTGCCAACCCGACTCGAGCCAGCTTGTGAAAAAACGAGCCAATCCGCAGGTCAAACGAGCTAGTTTGCGGGTTGAGTTTTTTTTTTTTATAAAAAAATACAAAATATAATATACAAAAATGGACAAAACCCACACATGTTGTCATCATTTTTCTTCCTTCTCTAAACCTAAGTACCTAATCTTCTCACATCCCTGCCATTTTTGTATTGTTAGGCTGTGCTGACTCTGTTTGGTTCAAATATCTTACCCACTTGATAGCATGTGGTTCTGATTGTTTCTTGATGTTAATGCAAATTTGTTGTGAAGAAAATTCAAAACTAAAATATTTTGTTTTTATTTCTATATTTTGTAACCCTTTGTTTAAGCTGATGGAAGCTACATAGCTGGTGCATTAATACTATAGGTTCATTTAAATAGGCTGAAAACGAGCCAACCCGCGAGCCAATTTTCGAGCCAACTCGCGAGCTATTTTTTCAAGCCAACCCACGAGCCATATTTTTTAGCCAACCCGCGAGCCAACCCCAACCCCACTCGGGTTAGGTTGGGTGAGTTTTTTGACTCATTTTTTTCGAACCAACCCTAATCCGATTCGTTTTTTCGGGTTAAATGCGGGTTGGGCCGGACCGGGCCGGGTTGGGCCATTTTGCCAACCTTAGTTATTATTTAGTCCATTTTTAATCAATGTAAGACTTTTATACTCCCACTTAAATTCTAGCACCATCATTCATTATGCTTTGTAGGAGTGTTACATTCTATTCTTTATAAATACTATTCGAACATCGGAGTCTTTACGGATGCCTCGTCCCCTTTTGCCCACCGCGCGAAACATATAAAGAAATCATTTTCAACCACATCAAATCTATATTAATGGAAGCTCTCCTGCATCATTTGTAAACGAATATGTGAAATCAGTTCAATGAGCATACTATCATTTCTTCTTAGTACAATTTATTATTAATTTTTAAATATTAAAATATAAAATATAATTATTTTGATACTCTCGAAGAATATTATAGAAGTCACATTGTTTAAAAGATATAGAATCTTTCCTTTTTATTGACCGTCTTAAATAAATACTGTAGCGGTCCTGTTGTTTGATTTATTTAATGAACTCAAGTGTGTCACTGCTAACGTATTGTAACAATTATACTATGCATGCAATTCTCTGCACGTCCTTAATTATTATGAAAATTGTTAAGATAATGTATTAATTAAGCATACGTGATGCATCTACATACGAGTGTTTATTTTTTACTCTTTTTCTCTTTGTAAGCAAAGCACTCCCTTAAGTCAGAGTGTCATATATATATATAACTCTATTCCAAGTCAATCGTAAACTCCAAGAGTGTCATATATAACATTTTTGGAATGTAATTTGCAAATTATATGGTTTGAATTAAAAAAAAAATAATTTTCTTTTCATTCCATTCAAACCATGACTTTAGATTCAAAATCATATTCAAATACAATTTAACTATATGATTTTGCCATAATATTCAGTTTACATTTATCTAAAAAAAAAACCCAGTTTATATCCTAATTTAGAATTTGAGGTGCATCTGCAATATCATTTGCCATAATGAGTTTGGGTAAGAAGTTATAAAATTTGGATCAATTGTTAGATTTATTACTTAGATTTCCGGTCGATCAGGTTTAATATGCTGATCATTTTTGGACCAAATGTA